TTATACTTTGTACTATAGAATTTCATCCCATTTCTGTCACTCATTTTCAGGGTCATCCAGATCTTCCTGCGTAATACACCAATCTTCCTCTGTATTGACAATTTCTCCCAACTTTGTATCAGCAGCAGATTTCATTAGTACACTCCTACTTTTTGTGCCAAGGTCACTAAAAAAATATTAAACAAGCTTTTTCCCAAGATTGATCCTTGAGGAACTCTACTAGTAACCTCCTTCCAGTCTGATAATTCACTTTTCAGCATAACTGAGTGCCTTCTCCCCTTTAGCCTGTTCCTTATCCATCTTACGATGCATGTACTGATCTGCCTCTTCCCTAAATTCATTAAATAATTTCCTCTGTGGTACTGTGACAAATGCTTTGCTAAAGTCCAAGAATATTAGATCTACTGCACTTTCCTTACCTGAAAAATCAGTTAATTTCCTGAAAGAAAGAAATCAGGTTAGTCTGGCGTGATCAACCTACCTTTTTTTTAAAAAAAAAGGAGTACTTGTGGCACCTTAGAGACTAACCAATTTATTTGAGCATGAGCTTTCGTGAGCTACAGCTCACTTCAAACGTGTGTTGCATTACATTCCCTTTACCATTTATCTCTGAATTATTCTTTCCTTCACAATTTGTTCTAAAAGAGAAGGTTATTCACCTTGTGCAATAACTGAAGTTCTTCAATTATCTTTGTCCACACGAAGGGCAAAATCATTAATAAAGTTAAACACATTGTTGTTTCCCCATTATAGAAAGAAAATTTCATTGGAGAAATTGTTTAAATTTATCACAAGAAAGAGAGAAGAAGAGTCTTATTTAGCTAACCTTTCTGCAATTCTTTGAAATTATACTGTGGTAAGTGTGTTTGGGAATGAAATTGATGTTCTGTACTTTGGACCAAATTTTCAAAAGTATCCACCTGCAGTGTTAAAACTACAGCTGCTTTGCGCTTGCAAACAGAATAGTTACATGCTATCAATTTGTGTGTGCAAGCATACTTCATATGCACAAAACTGAGTTCTCAATGTACAAAGTCAGTCACTAAAGCTTGAGTGCACAAAATTCCAAAGTAATTGCGGAGACTGGGTTGTGTTCTAATGAAGGATAAACTAATTTTATTGAGTGGATAAGTGACTAAAAGCAGAAATGAAGAGACAACCAGTTGTATATGTCAGTTGTCTGTATTAAGACTGTCTTGTTTAGCTAATATCTGAAAGCTAAAATAATGTTTTGGATGGGGGGGGGAGGTGTGTGTGTGTGTGTGAGAGTGAGAGAGAATTTATAATTTAAGATTTTTGGAATGAGTTTCCTTCATTAAACACTGCAATTATTGTTACTTGGATTTCTTCTCATCATTTTTTTTACCCCCATCAGAACAAGAACAAGAACCAAGTCAGTCTTTTCATTTATAATTTATAATGCCATTTACCTTTTATATGCTGAACACAAAGTGTTCACAAAAATAGCTTCACATCAGCAAATTAAGTATGAAATTAAAAGACTATTTACCAAAAGCCAGCCAAATAATGTCTTGCTCTAATATCACAAGCATCTTTAGGTAATTAATTCCAAATAGAAGGGGCTTAGTACAGCTAAAAAGGCATAATCCTGTAGACAAAGTTTAGGAATATTTAGCCAGTCATCACGCATGCTTATTAATTCTTAAGCAGAGTGTTATTTTTTTTTCTCTTGAGGATGTGCAGTGTCTTTAAATTTGTCCTGATTCAGCTAAGGGTAAAATTCAACACCCAAACACAGTGGCATTAAATTCTTAGGGTGATATTTTCTCTAGCGCAGAGAGTAGCACAAGGACTATTCACTACTTAAGTCTTCAAAATAGAGCCTAAGTGATGCACTGGTTGCATGCTGGCTTTCTGCATAAGGATGGATCTTACCCTCCACGTCTAATACTCTATAACAGTGCTACTCAAAGTGGTGGTCCGCAGACCGGTGCTGGATGTGAGCCATCGGCTGCCGGTCTGTGTGCACATTGGAAAAAAAAAATGGCCGGTCCCCCACATCAGATAGCTTGAGAAGCACTGCTCTATATCACTTAACCCTTCTGTGTCTTAATCTCCCCACCTGAAAAATGAGACCAACAATACCCATCTCTTAAAAGCATGTTGAGCCCATGAGGGATGTTGCTATATAGAGTTCAAAGCTTTAATTATTTTTTAAAATCATGCAAGTCCCACAAGGGATTTGAAATAATGTAAGTATGGTAATTATAGAAGTTGAAAAAAACTCTGTAAAAACCATGCCACACTTCATTTCTGTAAGCCCTCTGCATGCAGATTTCCATGGTCTTCTACAAGTTTCACATGAAAAGGAGTTGTGTTCAGGTTGAGGCCTGTTTTGAAAAGTCTCTCTGATGCCAAAAAGCTGATATAATATTGGAAGCAAATGTGCACATCATCCTGAAATGACTCAACAAATGGCTTATGTGCTGAATAGACAGAGTGCTGCTGATTTGCTCTTTATCACTATCTGCTGTTCACTGGGTTGAGGCATGTAATGGTGAAAGATATCCAATAGTTAGATACCTGTGGTATAGTAAAGCCAACACTATCTAAATAATATATCCAAGTAGGAGTTTGGTGGTTTTCTCAGTACTGAATTTTAGAAGAGGTGCAGAAGTATCCAGTTTTTCAGTCAAGGGACTATGCCACAAAATCTTGTTAAATGCAAATGACACCTTGATTTACTTTTCTCCCCCAGAATTCCACAGGATTACAGAACAGTATCAATTACAGGGTCACGTATAACGAGCCTAAATTATTCCCCCTACATTCCCCTAGCAGACAATTATCTGCCTTTTCTTCTGGGAGGTTCATATTTAAATTAAAGAATTTAAATACCTGCGTATACAGATAGAACACCCCATAGGGAACAAAATGTGGCGCTATCTGCCCAGACCTCAAAAAATAAGCTAAGATGACCCTCTTCTAGCCCAGAAAACCTAATTTTTGGTGGCCAGGCCTTCTTGCACATATTTTAATTTTTCCTGGCAGGTGTCCCCTTTTCAGTTCTTATTGATGTGCATAAATGATCCTTCAAGCTTACTTAAAAGCCATCCGTGCAAATTAAATAGCATCCAGTTACTTAAAGATCAGACATGCAGAGTCCTTCTAAACCTATTGTACTGTTATTTTGTAGTAAGATTTTCTCATATGGTTACAGGCATTAGACCTTTTCTGGGGCAGGCTTGAACCATTGGCCATCAGGAGTGCTTCATTGGACTTCCTTTCACAAAGTCCATTGGCTGCACTGATTGGAAATCATATCAACAGGAACACAATAATGCACACTTCAGAATGCGAGCCTTAGAAAGAAAAGAATCTTTCCACTAATACTTGTAATTTAACCTGGATTTCCTTTTATCTGCAATGGGTGGCTGTTTCTATTCAAGGGGGAGAGTAGGCATGCTGGGGTGACAGTATGTAAACATACTGAACATGATATGTAATCTTTTTATGTGGAGCAAATTCCCTCTGAAGATTACAGCATTTCCATTTATGAAGCCTTTTAAGCAGCTATACAGAAGAAAGCATGTTATTTGAGAATTACACAGTATAAAATGTATCCTTGCATAGACTGGTCTCTTTTCAATACATTTCTTTTTTCTGGGGTCTTGCTAAGCATAAGGGGGCATTCTGTAGTCCTTGAGATAACTGGAAAACAGATGAATCTACCAAGAAAAATTAAGCTTCTGTCTGTTTTGAAAAAAGTCTCTCTGATGCCAAAAACTAGGAACTTTGTTTTTTTTATGAAACAAAACATTTCAGTGAAGTTTATTTTGTTCAGACATATTCTATATTTGTTATAGATTATGCAGGAAGCAGGAGGCAATCATCCCACACATACACATTATATGCAGCAGTTTTGGTTAAGGGCATAGATCTCTCTGTTGTTTAACATCCAGGGTGCCACTGGGAACTATCTAGGATGACCAGACATCCCGATAAAATCGGGACTGTCTCAATATTTAGTGGTTTGTCCCACGTCCCGACCGATGTACGGTCGGGACACCATTTGTCCCGATATTTTGCTTCGGCAGCACTCTGGCTATTTTTTTTTTTTTTGCGCTTCGGTGGCACTCCGGCTTTTGAGCCTGTGGCTGCCCCCCCATGTGTCCCAATATTTTGTTTTTGTCATCTGGTACAGAGGTTTAATTTGTTAACGTTGGGAAAAATCCTCACATGGCGGGTTCTACAAGATGAGGGTCTAGTCCTGGCTTTGCCACAGATTTTCTATGTACTTGAACAAGTTATATGACCTCTGTTTGTCCATACCATCTGTAAAATGGGGATAATACTCGTCTCTTTCACAAAGGTACGGAGGTTTGATTTGTTAATGTTGGGAAAAATCCTCACATGGCAAGTTCTACAGAAGTGCCAGCTCCAGTGTCCTACACTATCCGCTCTGCAAGGAATGTTATTTTTGGGAGAGCTATCATCATCCCCAATAGCTTCCATACACCTTAAAGAGGCATTTATGAAGTTCCTAAATATGCTCCCACATCAAGGTCTGGATTCTTAGAATGATGCTTAGCAGCCCTTACCCTGCTGTGACTAAATCTCTGCTCCCATGTGGAACCAGATTGCTTCTACCTTTTTTTGTCCTGCAATGGTTGCACATGGTGAGAGATCTGTAACATTTATCAAACCATACATGTTGTATCTGTTTAGGGTGACCAGACAGCAAGTGTGAAAAATCGGGACAAGGAGTAGGGGGGTAATAGGAGCCAATATAAGAAAAAGATCCAAAAATCGGGACTGTCCCTATAAAATCGGGACATCTGGTCACCCTACATCTGTTCCTTTGCCTTTCTCCTTCTAGTACAACATTTTTTCCACCTTCTCTTCTATGTGAGGGCATACGGGACAGATTACCTGTTATGTACTGTTTGGCACAGCGCATAAATAATGATTCTCTTAGAAAGGGTCAGAAGGCAAGAACAGGAAGTGTATAGACCAGAAACAGCTTGAAATATGCACCATAGGTTTTGAGAACAAAATATTTTATTTCTGTCAATAAAACTATAGTTTACAGTAGTATTTACTAAATAAATTATATAATTTCTCTTTTACAAGCAATAAACTAAATCACACATTTCAAAGACAATTTATGTACACAACATAAGGCCTTGTTATAAATAGTTTTTTCCCCCTCATTTCACCAACAAACAGTGAAAATATCTTTAGAGGCTATTGTCCATAAAGTAAGTGCAGACATTTACATTAATCCTTGTTTGAAATAATTTTGAACTTCCAACAACATGGACCTAAGTAATTATGATTCTGGGGGAGAAAAAAGTGGAATTAATTTTATTTACCACTGTGTTGATGATGGATCTTTAAATAGGTAAAGCGGATTACATATTTTGCTTGTACACAATCACTGAATACATGCAAATGAAATCATGAGAGTCAATAGGAAAATATCACTTTCAGGTCCAAAAAAGGTGATTAGCACTAGTATAGAAAGCATCTTAAATACAGTTTATGCAGTTCTTCACAGTTTAGCAAGCAACAGCACATGATAGCAAAGTGTGGAATGTTTCATGTCACATCTGTCGAGTCTAGCTATCATTTCCATGGTTCAAGGTTCCCATGACATTTCTCAGAGATAAGTTCCATTGATTATTACTCTTTGTCTGTTAGGCTCAGCAAATTCCTCCCTTTAAATCAGGAGTGCAGAAAGTGCTCTTCATCAACCATGGTCACGTCTTATCCACTTTTACTTTGATTTTCTTCTATTCTCTATTACTGGAAATAGAAAATAATTTAAGAGGTTAGGAGGTTTTGTTTCTTTATTCTGCACTTTATAAAACTGTACTTGGATAAAATCTTTCTCTCTCTGTGACCAAAAGCACTCCTGTAATTCCACCCTACACATTATTGTAATAATCTTTGTGCAAAATATGCCTTGCAAGGTATCATTTATAAACTAGTAACACATTGATCATCAATATTCTTGTGTAATGTATGTACAAAATGCATATGAAGAATTATGAACATTAAATGAAATGATAATGACCATGTTTACCAGTCCATCTGGGGAAGGGGTAAACTTGTTTCTCAAAGACAAAGGACAAGCTGAGGCCGCTAGCCAGGTGTCATCAAAGTTAATCACCTGTCAAGAAGGCATTCTCTGGCAACGAAGGGGGATAAGAACAGATCTATATGCATTTTAGCAAACAACACTGAACCTCTTTAACCATGGGACTCCACGTATCCTTCCTCACATCTGGAATGAGTGTTATCCAGGGATAACACATTACAAGGGTGCAAAGACCCGCCAGGTCTTTTTCACCTAAGATGACAAAGGAACAAGCCCTTTGACTTTGTGGGGAGATTCTGACCCCTGAACAGGGGTGAAAGTAACTTAAAAGTCTTACCAGTAGGGGGGGTCTGGCTCCGGACCCCTGGAAGGGGCAGGGCCTCAGATGGAAGGGATGGGGCTGGAAGTCAGCCTCCCCCAGCCAGCCCTTCAGTGCTGGCCAGCCTGTGCTGCCCAGGACTCCAGCAGCGATTTAAAGGGCCTGGGGCTCCGTGGCAGCTGCCCCTTTTGCCCCCTCCCCCCCCCCCGGCAGACCTGGGGGAGGCAAAAGGGGCAGCGATGTTAAAAGCGCTGCTGCGGCACCACTTTAATGTCAGCTGTGTATGGCCTTGTACCAGCGGCCACTTCTGACCGATACGCTGTACTGGCCCACCTTCACCTCTGCCCCATAGACTCTGGTCAGCACAGTTGCTGGGAACATGTGGTAAGGATTTACCTTGAGCCAAGTCTAGCTTGTTAAATTTTAGCTACTAGGAAGTATTTTATCTTGATTTTTCTTGTAACCATTTCTGACTTTGATACCTTTATACTTGTACTCACTTAAACTTGTTTTAATTTTAATCTAAACTAATGTGTTTAAACTGAACTGTTTGGTAACTCCAGTTAAAGTAGCAAACTGTTGAAAATTGACCCTTTACAGGACAACAGACTTTTAATAGCCAGACTGTCCAGGAGAGGGCTGGACAGTGCAAAACCCACATTTTTGGGAAAATTTGCGATTGGGACTGTGTTGGCCCTGCAAGTAGTAACCAAGTCTGTTGGAAGCTAGAGTTTGACTGGTGTGTTGCTGACAGGCTGCTGGGATCAGAGTGGGTGGACCAGGGCTGCAGCTATACACAGACACTGTGTGTGTGACTTACACAATGTTAGACTGTTTGTGAGTGGCCCTGGTTGGGAGCTACAACAACAAAGCATTGTGAGGCACTCAAGGTTGCAGGGCAGGTGGTGAGACAACCTCTCACTGGTCTGGATTGCAGCCTGGAATGAAAGAGACACCCTCCATCTTCACATTTCAGTAACTTGAAGTATAGTTCTGCAGTGATACTCTTTTTTTTTAAAAAAATTCACATGCACAGTATTATCTTCTCCCCTGTAAAATAGTATCCCTAGTACATTTATGTCTGTGAATATTGATATACTTAATTCATAAAACCAGTATTTGCTCTTGAGAGATACTGGGCAACCTGGATATCGCTGAAGTCAGTGAAAGTGAAGTGCATCAGCCAACCACACGAGGCATTTATAACCTTGTCGGATTGATCAGGGCCTTAGAATGCATGGGGGCAAAATCCTGGTCTCATTGAAGTCAGCTATAAAACTTCCAAGATTTGAAAATAGAAAATAAATTGAATATACATTCCTCCAGGTGTAGGTTTTCTTATGGATCTGTAAAGCCTCATGAATAATTAATATATATGTAAATAAAGCTACAAGAGTTATACTCATAATATGACTAATGAACATGACAGTTATTTAAAAATATATAACAAATTACTCTATTCTATAATATTACTGGAGAAATTAATTTCTATAGCACAAATTTTATTTTTAATATTTCTGTAGGATCAGGTGTGTCTATATTGGGCACTTAAATCAAGGTCAAATGGATCACCAGCAAACTTCTAGAAAAACCAGGGAAGACCATAATTGACATCACTAAAGTGTAAAAAACCCAAACCAATGCAGACTCCACTTTCAGACCTTCTTTGTATATCCAAATAAAGCATACAGAGGACACAAAAGTCCCATTTTTATTAAACTCTTTTGTAGGTCACTGTTAACTTTAGTTCCAGATAAAGGTATTTAATTAACCTTCAAACAATTCAAGAGAAGAATCTAACCTTGGCAGTGAAGGAAAATGCAAGCTCCTCAGGCATTTTGAATAGCTTACCTTATTTAGGAAAAGGCAACCAACAGATAGAAATCATACTCAAAATGCCATTTAAAATAACGTATCTGGCACCAGGCATATGCTCCACATAATGTTCCACTGCAGCAAACTTTCAGAACTGTGATCCAGTTGTACACTGGAAAATGGTACAAGAAGGATTTTCTAATCAGTTGCTTAGTGAATAGACTGATGCATGTATCATCCTCAGTGTGTGGACATGACACCCTGGCCAAGGCAGGTTATGCTGCTATTTGTGGGACATGGGTTCACTATGCAAAGCAATTTACTATGTAAAGTGAAACTGCTGAATAGGTGAATAGAATGAATTTGGGTGGATGGATGAAGTGGAACTGATGACTGAGTAGAAGGAATGTATTTTGATGACTGAGTGAAATGAACCTGACAAATGGACTTTTTAAACTTTTTCAATCATCAGCTTTGCAAGAAGACAGAGCTAAATCAACCACTTTGCTAGCACGTTTTTATGAGACCAGGATAAATGAAGCACAGTTTTCCCATTGATCTGTGTGGCTGGGTCTGAATGGCCATTGTTACTTCTTTGTAAAGGGTACAGTATGCATTCCCTCACCACAGCACTCAAACTCAGGCCCTGCCCTCACTTCTCCTAGCTCTCAGAGACTAATAGCACTGCTGGCATAGCTTTAAGCGGCTCCTGTACTGTACTCTCTGCAATTGTGACTAGCTCCTTCTTGCTCCTTCTCACATCCCCAACCTGAACAGACTAGTCACCATTGAGCCCTAAACATTTAGGAAAAAAGCTGCACACAGTTTACAATGCGGAAAGAGAAGGATTGACAGGACTGTAGTTGGACGTGACTAAAGACTAACAATTAGTGCTGGGTCACAAAAATGATGCTCATGGTAGTGAGAAGAAAGGCAATTGGGCTGTAGGGAGTTGCTGTCTGGAATGCCCCACTCCGGGTCCAACCCTGTGCACCTTATTTCAGGCAAAGCTCCCATCTTCAATGTTCAGGAACTAGTTCTCTTTGAGGAATACCTACGGCGCAGTTGTTGGAGTGACACTGAGGGCAACCAGAGAAGCAGTGTTTCCTGCCCATATTGATAAAGAATGAATATGGTCATGGCGATCAGAGTTGAGATGCTTGATGGGAAACGCGTAACAAGACAAAAGTGACTGACTGCTACAATGGGCCAAACACTGATAATCAAATGAGTTTGTACTAGCCAGGGTTTGTTATGTAATGGATTTAGAACGTGCTCCATTATTTGAGCATATTTTTGTGCTTTATTAATTTTTTGCATGCATTCATTCCTCAGTAAATTGATTTCCTCATACAGCACATTAAAAAGCCTCAGGGCACCAAAAATTTATTGTTTAGTGAAATTTACACAGGCTTTCTAGCACTTGACTCACTTCACTAATGTGTTAATTGTAACTTGAAGTACATTTGCATTTAGTAAAGCACATTCTTCTTGTATCTGACTTTGATACAAAGAGAGATGGATGCCTTGCTGTGGTTATATTCTTCCTTAAAAACTTAAAATATGTCTCGTGGGCCAAACTCTGCTCTCAGATGCCCGGGTATAACTTCAGTTAAAAATCAATGGCAGCCATGCACTCATATTCAAAGGACAGAATTAGGACCTGTGTATTTCAAAATGAACATTTTCCTTTTTACGAAGAGGTAGTAATAAATGGATAAAAAATACTTTCAACCATATTAGACTACGTGTACTTCATTTTAGATGCCATTGCAACAACAATAGTTGGCAGCATTGTGGGGTTTTTGGTTTTGTTTTTTTCCCCCCCTCAAAAGATGATGTTAATTTTGAGGGCCTCCATTTTTGGGTTCAGAGCCTTGGACACCTTGGGCCTGATCTTCAGAGGTACCAAGCACCCACAGCACCAATTCATTTGTCAGGATTGGGCCCACTCCATACTACCCAACCTCCCCAGAACACACCTTAGGATTCAAAGACATTTGCAAAGGGAGGCTCCAGATGCTTGTGTTCAGTTCAAAGAGCTTCTGCTTTGTGCACAAAACTGACGCTAATGTCACTTAATAAACAGGGGAGCTTTGGACAATATTGTTCATAGACATATACACTATCCCTGCAATGACTGGATGTGGAGAAAGCTACTAGCGGGGGGGCTGTTCTAGGTTTGATTGTGACAAATAGGGAAGAACTGGATGAGAATTTGAAAGTGGAAGGCAACTTGGGTGAAAGTGATCATGAAATGGTAGAGTTCACAATTCTAAGGAATGGTAGGAGGAAGAACAGCACAATAAAAACCAATGGTTTTCAAGAAGGCAGACTTTAGCAAAACTTGGGGAGTCGGTAGGTAAAATCCCATGGGAAGCAAGTCTAAGGGGAAAAACAATTGGAAACAGTTGGCAGTTTTTCAAAGACATTATTAAGGACACAAGAGAAAGCTATCCCACTGCGTAGGAAAGATAGGAAGTACGGCAAGAGACCACCCTGGCTTAACCAGGAGATCTTCATTGATCTAAAATTCAAAAAAGAGTCCCACAAAAAGTGGAAACTCATTCA